TGGTCATCCATACTAGCCATAATCACTAGGTAAATTATTGTTGACTTTGATAACGTCAATAAAGACATGATCAAAATAGGACCCGTTTTTAAGAAATGATTGTATACTATATTTTTATGCTAAAAGTAAATAATATTTGTTTTAGATCAGATTAATTTGATAATTTTACTCAAATAACATGTCCCAAATATATCGTTTTATTTTTGGAAGATTTTTAAAATCGATAATATTGTTTTGTTTACAATTTTTTTTAAAATTAAGAAAATGGCCGCTTTTAAGATGTTTTTTTTAAACAGTCAAAAAGTTGAGATTCCAATCTAAATAGATTTTTGTTAAAATACACCAGAATATTTTGCTTACTGGAAATAGTAAATTTAATCATTTACTTTTCAATAAAAGCTGGAATGAAATCTTCAAGAATGCTTTTTTAAAAAAAAAAAATTTAAACGTTCGGTATCGAAAAATCAGTGGAGGTTTCTACTTTAGATAGTTTACTTACTCGTTGCCTTTCTTGTTTAGAGTGTCCAGTGGGTGTCAAGTCCTCCACGCCTTCTTTCCTCATAATGCGTCCCATAAATTTGAATTGTCACGTTATGATTCTTTATATAAGTTTATATATATATTATATATATATATATATATATATATATATAGCATTTACTATCTGCTTCCCAACGTCGCAAAGTTCATCAGGTATCGCAGACCTGTTTATTTACGACTACGGGCAATTCTCATAAATGTAGAATTTCATGTAAAACAGGAGGGCAAAGTAGAAATATTTTTGGTACATAAACGGAGAAAAACAGAGTATAGAATTTACATTTCTTTTCGTTGTCTAGCCAAGCTTCGAGTTTATTTTAGTTAAGAATTCCCAAAAGAAGAAAAAAGTGCTTTGTGTCTAACTGCCGGGATTTATGTAACGTATGAGAAACCAATTAAAAAGAATAACAAATGTAGAAAGGTAGAAAGAAGAAAACTAAAGAAATAAATCTAAAATGAGAAAATAAAGTATAAAAATACATAATAAGAAAATATAAATTTCCCCGAATAAAATTAAATTATACCAATATATAACAAATTATATATGAATTTAAATGCGCTAATAAATTGTCGCCAAGGTCTTGTCATATAATAGTTGAAATGGCTAGATGTAACCGTAAGTTCTATGCTAACAGTTTCTTCTCACACTTTTCGTTTGTGAAATTTTCTTCCGCCTTCGTATTTTCCAGAAAACTTTAATCTTTCAAAATTTAAATGCAATGTCAAGCGTTATTGTCAATTTTGTTCCCTGCCAGTACTAAGACAATACAATACCCATCAGAATTACACTGCTGATCGTTAAAAATTTGAGGCTAATAACTCAATTTGTAAGAATTTTTTGAGTAATTGAAAATTTGATTAACAGTTTCTTTTATATAAATTTTTTTTTCCAGATATATATCCTGATATTTAACACATAACTGGGGGCAGGACAACTGTGACAAAATATTAAAAATAATCCTAAATATTACGATAGCATTCATAAATAGCAAAGCAGGTCATTATTCATAGAAGTAAGAGGGTACAAATGTAATCCAGAGGGTAAAAATGTAATACAAAGGGTAAAAATGTAATCCAGTATTAAATTTTATAAAATTTAATATTCTTTTTGCATATTCGGGATCTGTAGTGCTTTATCTATAGTAATAATATGAAAAAAAAACATTGAAAATAAAATATTGTTTCTGGGTACAGTGTTTACTCTACAATTGACACATTTTTATTGCTTCCTTTGAACAAAGTAATTTTGGCATGATCACGTTTCACTTAGAAAAAGGTTTTGTCTATAAAACTCCATAGATTATTTCTTCTTCTTTTATATGTTGCGTCCCCTTAAGACGTAGGCGATCATGTCTCTCCACAATTTCCAGCTTCTTTTTGTGATCAGTTTCAGCAACGTTTGTCCTTATTCCCTCAATCTTAATAATGTATTCTTTTTCTCATCTTCTAACCTTCAGTAGGTCATTGCGTATAAACGACTTTATTGTATTCATTGGTGGGGGAACGATTTTTCGTTTGTTCTTTTATTAATTTTAAAATATTAAACATTTTTACTGCGAACATCTGAATGATGGAAAAATATTTTGTTTGTATTTTTTTAGCAGAAACAAAGTAACGGTCTTTCCGATTATTAATGAGTTGAATATTCCAAGAGAAGGAGAAAAATTTGTAAGGGCATTACTGAGATCGTGAATTAAACAGATCAATGCGAACTTGACTGCTCGATTCAATCTTCTACTCCATTAACAAAAACGATACAAGAATAACCGTTTTTATATTTACTGGACACACAAAAAAATGTACTACAAAGTTTTTGAGTGTTGGGTGCTCCAATAAGCAATCGGTGTTGACGCGATTAGATGAGCAATCGAAAAGTTTATTGTAGGAAGGGATGAAGGATGCCCTTGAACGATACTACATGGGTATCTCCGTGCAGTAGAAACTATGTCAAAAAGTGACATAATCATTTGTTATTCATCAATGGAAATTGTATGGAAATGGGCATTAATTTTTGGTTTACCCTCGCCTATTCGACTGCCGAAATATTCTTGACCGACCTTCGTCCCAAAATGAGGAAACATGAAACTTTATTTTGTGTTGGTGTAGGCTTGAACGGATGAATAAGATTTCAGCAAACATTTTGTGCATTTCGTATGTTCATTTTGATTATGGGTCTATGTGCGTTGGTGCAAGGGAGTGAAATAGAACGTAGGCAACGAATTTGGGGAATGAAGTTTTTTGGGTTTTTTTTAAAATAAAAATTGACTTCCATGACGGAGACTCAGGTACACATTATTTATTCATTTATTTATCTATAAGTTAGTTGATACATTTCTCAGAATATTAACTGGACAAATTGTAAATATAGAGTACCTGTTATCTTAAATATTCTCGGTATCGAGTTAGAATCGTGAAACACTCCTTGGTAAAATGAATTTCTAAAAACAAATATAGACACGTACTGTTAAATTTATTATATCGAAAATCCTTCACGATGAAATATTCAAGCGAATTTAATTTTTACGGTCTACCTACCCTTTGCAGGTTATTTAAAGCCACAAAATATTACTCTAGATAATAAGAATTTATTTTAGATGATAAAGATTTATGATACAAGTCCTACTAAACACATGGTGGGGTTCAAGGTGGATTCATACGTTCTCCAAGTGTATTTGCGTATAAGATGATATAGCGAACCCGACTAGAATTTGAACTCCATTGACCACCAACATATCCGACCCAGCAACAGCTGGTGTTTCAAGTATTGACCTATGTAGGTATTAACCATGATCGAGTTGATTAACATCAGTGATTTGACGATAATCCATATTTCAAGATTCAAATGAAAAAGATAATCTTAATGACAAGTGTAATCGCGATTATAAGAATTAAAGACGCAGACAGAAGTGGTGAAGTTCATTCTTTTAGAGTGATAATAAAATCCTCTAGAGAAAGATAAAGATTAGATATGTACGCCGCAATATCAAAATGTATCTGGACTGTTGCTATATTAACAGCGCAAAAGTGCATGGAGGGTAACCTCATGGCACAGATTGACCTAGAACTTTGCCGCGCATATAAGGTTCTCGAACACTTACGTTGTTTATAATAGTGCTTGAAAGGAAAGTGTGTAGAGTGTGGGCGTTTTGCTATAACACAGAGTTTCCGTCAATGACCATAGACTCTACAAATTGGCAAAGGACTGCATTCGCCATGCCCTACAACTAAAATATTAACTATATCTCACTCCATGCAATATTTCCTCTTTAAAAATCAAATCCCACTGAAAAGGAACATAATTTCAAGACGTCATGGCAATTGCTCGCTATCCCAAAAGAAGAGTTTCAAGAATGTTTTTATCAAGGGAAACGACTCTGGACGTAAATCGTGTATGACAATCCGTGACTTTGTTCTGAAGAAACACCTAAAAAAAAACTGAAATTTAAATTGTCTGGCACGAAAAATGACAATCTGTCACGCAAACACACTAATTTATACCGTAGAAAAGTGTGTAGAGTGTGGTCGACTCATTACAACACAAATGTTTCATCAATAACCATGGTTAGTGCAGCTGTTTTTGGCCAAGCACTATATTCCCCACGTTCATCAACCACCATATTACCCAGACTTACCCAGACAAAAATCAAATACACTTGAAAGGAAAAAGATTTCAAGGCGTTGAAGAAATCCAAGAGAATGCCAGGAGATAGCTAATCGCTATCCCCCAAAAGTAGTTCCACCAATGGAAACGACGTTGGAAAAAGCGTGTGCCTTCAGAAGGGGACTACTTCGAAGGAGATTAAATGCTGAACTGATATATATTATAGTTTTCTTTTTAGTCCTGATACGTTTTTTTATCAGACTTCTTATGTGGGAATTATGTGTGAGTGTGCAAATGGAATATTGCAGCCATTGCTATATAAATTATTATATGAATAATATATTTCTGTTTTTTTTTTCATTCTTGTCTTCTTTCCTTGCCTCTACTTGGAAAAAATATTCTCAAAACCTCAGATTGCATCTCTAAATAACTGAGCCGTTAACAAACACAAAAAACTTCTGCATATATTTTCTAGCATATATGGCAGACCTATGACTTTGGCATGAACTTAAACAGTTTATAAAATGAATTTCTTTAAAACAAATGTAGACACGTACTTCAAATTCCCATTGAAAATCATCACAAAACTTCCATAAATTTCCTGTAGGTCGTTTTTTGATGGTTATTTAAACCACAAAATATTACGACATTGTTTGAAGTTATTTTAGATTTGATGATTAACAAGTCCTTCTAAACACATGTATATATATATATATATATATATATATATATATATATATAACATAGAAAACAATTTTTCAGATAAATAGATCCGATCTATTTTCTCTCTCTCTGTCTTTATATATATATATATATATATATATATATATATATATATATATATATATATATAATGCACTGAATAGATAGATAGATAGATAGATAGATAGATAAGATAAGGATCTGAGATCAAAAGTGGTAAATCTCGAACAAGTAAAAAATCCTCTAGAGAAAAAAAGATAGATGTAGATAGATAAATAGATAGATAGATAGATAGATAAGGATCTGAGATAAAAAAGGCCTAAAATCTCAAAGTAAAAGAAAAAAGAGACAGATAGATAGATAGATAGATAAATAGATAGATAGATAGGATCTGAGATCAAAAAGAGTTTCTAAAACCATAGAAGTAAAATTGGCAAAGAGACAGATAGATAGATAGATAGATAGATAAGGATCTGAGATCAAATGGCCTAAAAACTCGAACAAGTAAAAGAACAGATAGATAGATAGGAAAATCGGACATAAATTTGTATATATCAGAAAAGTGTTAGGTAAATGATAAAGCTGAAAAAAGCATTTAGCACTTGCAAACTTCGTCGGACTAAAACAATGCTTTCTATGATGAAATTATGTGCTAGAAGGGGAGGGGTATATAAAAACGAAGGTGTCTCTTAAAATTAAGCGCCGACATGAAACACTGGAATTTTTAGATAGATAGATAGATAGATAGATATAAAAATGAGATAGATAGATAGATAGATAGATATCAAAATGAGATAGATAGATAGATAGGTAGATAGATAGATAGATAGATAGATAGATAGATGTATTTACATAAGTTTTGATGCAAATAGGCCAGCAAAGATGCATATTCCATAGATATATAGGCGCTTACTGTATAACTTACATGAATTAAAAACAACGTATCTATAAACATAGATATACATATAAACAAATAAGAAAGATTCAATATCAACAATAACAATATTTACTCCATTCCGTTTAGTAAATTACATCATTTAGCAACTTCCATAGTTTACCTTGACTTTCATAGTTAGCTAGGGTGTATGTAAATGTAAAAGTTGACACCGATATCAACACGAAGATTATATGTATGTGTACTGGGAGAGCAATATGTGGGTCTATAAAACTACATCTAAATAACAAAGATATAAATAGAATTCATTACTCTAGATAGGTATGTAGATATGAAGAGCTTGTGATTGATATAAAGAGATCAAGATATATAGATATGAAGAATGTGAGATAGATAGATAGATAGATAGATAGATAGATAGATAGATAGATATGAACAGACTGAGATAGATAGATAGATAGATAGATAGATAGATATGAACAGACTGAGATAGATAGATAGATAGATAGATAGATAGATAGAAATGAAGAAAGACCAAGTACTATTTGTTTGTTATTAATTCTGTAATTAGTTGCTGAACACTTGAATTTAAATCTACAGAAATATACCGGTTAAATTTTTTATACCAAATTTTATACATATTCTGGGAAGAAAATAATCATATATATATATATATATATATATGTGTGTGTGTGTGTGTGTGTGTGTGTGTGTGCGTGTGTGTCTGCATGTTCGTCAATGAAGTTTGAATTTGATATTCGTGTGATCCACTGCTATAAATCTTTTTATTTTAACAATTTTTAACTAACAAGTAACAAACCCCATTCCGTTTAGTAACTCACATCAATTAACCAAATATGTCAGCCCTTTCTCTTTCTAATAAGTACCCGTGTATATAATATATAAATAATTACATATATATATATATATATATATATATATATATATATATATATATATATATATATATATATATACTAATTCACAAAACACACACACACACATACATTACACACACACACACACACACACACACACATATATATATATATATATATATATATATATATATAGATAAATAGATAGATATATTTCAAAGATATGAATAAATAATCATACTATTTGAATGTTACAATCAGCAATATTAATAATTAATAATATTTATACCATTAATCGCATTAATATTGCTGATTGATTATATAATTCAACAAAAATTTCGCTTGAAGATGGAACGGAGCCATTTACTTTCAACTCAATTTAATTTAAAGGATTATATTTTAAAGTTTTCGGCTCTTGTTTTGAAACATGAGACCTCTTATGTAACGATTTGGAATCATATTTTAAATAAATAATTATATTTATGCTCTACTTTTGTATCGAGCACTATTTTTTAAAAATAATAACTAAAATACTAAGGACTTTGGATTATTTACCTAACCAGTTCCTTCCTATTTTCTATATATTTTTTATATATATATATATATATATATATATATATATATATATATATATATATATATATATATATATGTCTATATCTCTCTCTCTCTCTCTCTCTCTATATATATATATATATATATATGTGTGTGTGTGTGTGTGTGTGTGTGTATGTATATATATTTGTGAGATATTCTGAGATGACGTATTATGTACGCTATTTACATTATTATGACTATTGTCCTCAACGTCTGGGCTATTGTACGCTCCGCCCTTCTTCAGTTGGTTGAAATGTCGAACTGAATGAACCCTTTATTTCGCTCACTGCGGTAGACTGTTCTAGTTCCACGTGATATGTTTAATGGATGTCAGTTAAGGCAGTGGAGAAATTGGAGAGGGGAATTGACAGGAGATAACTGATAACGGTGAAAAAGGCAGCAATAGCTGCAGCATCAGCAATACCAGCAAACAACTACTACAGTACAAGCATAGAAAAAACACGAGCATGAGACACAACAGTGGCAAACGCAACAGCAACAACAACTTGCGAAACAACAGGTGCAGTTGAAATCTGATGTAGGAGACGACGTAATGCCTCCGTTTAGGTCCTCTTCCTTGAAAAGTGAGAGTGAGGAAGACGATTTCGAAGAAGGAAAAATCTGTAAAAAAGAATAGAAAGCCGGGCTAGACAGGACGGAACGAGCCATGCAACATGCCAAGTCTTAATCCGACTCTATTTCGCCAGCCAGACAAGAAGACCCAAACAGAGGTTAGTCTATCAGCTTCTCAAATTCCTCCGTTAAGGACCCGCCAAATTTCCTTTCCTCTACCTCCCAACTCATCCCAAGCATTCAAGGTTAATGCCATTTATTTATTGATAGACAGGTCTGCGAGAGGGGCCTTTTCTCTCAGAGGAAGGCCCTCTTTAAGACTTTATTGAAGTTTACCACCGTCGACGGAAGACCCCAAGAATTTCCCAGAAAATCCGGAATCCATCACTCTCATAAGGAAATCTAGCTGCAAACTGAAGATCTGGGAGTTTTTGGATTCCGCCAACGACTGGTTCCCAAATATCAGGATGGCTCATTTGAAGTCACCCAAACTCAGTAAAAAAGAAAAGCTATATTCTACGAAGACCCCGGTTTTGCTCACCTTTTCCTTATTTAGGGCACTAAAACTAACGTTCCCTACCTACGTCGGCAGGATTATCGAGGACGAACAAAAAACGTTCAACAGTACGTCGAGGTCTTGTCACCAGCACGTTTCCGACGAGCGTTCTTACAAAAGTATTTCTTAAATATGTCTATCAAGCAGCAATACTTCAATGCGAAGGACTTGATCAATCGGAGTAAGGATTCCCGGCTGCTCCGCGACCTCTTATCGTTCGGTGTGGATGCGGCCGCGATCGAACAGACTCACTTTACTTGCGACGTCGATATTCGTGTGTTGTCTAGCGACTTTGTGGCTTATTCAGCATGCGTGTAACGGCAGACAAGAAGTATTGCTGGTGAAGCATACCCTGGGCAGGAGGGTCGAAATTGTTCATGTTGATGCGGAGGGCCAGTTGATCGTAGTCGATATTGGCGTGAGTATTAATTCGTTTCAGATCGTTGCAGTGTATACGCCCAACGACCGGACGAAGCTAGGGCAGTTACTGGTGGTTCCGGCGCGCATAATCTTAATGTGGGGACGGGAATTTTGTCATAAACTATAAGTTGTATAGGAGGCGGGAAGCAAGCGGGAAGTTGAATGGTCGTATTCTGGTCGATATGATCAGCGAGTGTAGTTTCATCGATAGATACTGACGATACCTCGGAGCAAGAGATTTGGGCGTGGGCTCTTAAGTGGTAATCTACCCAGGTTGTCAGCTACCTTGATAGAATCTTAGTGAGAAGTGCCGATCTTAATCTGCAAGATTGTCAAACGTTCCACTCACAAGGCCATTCGAACCATAAAATTGTTTGTGCTTGTGTGGCGTTAGAATATAGGCCTAGCCGGGTTTCACACTGAAAGTTCAACGCGCCCTTACTGGACAAGAAACGGCTGACTAAGTTAGTGGAGGCGGTTATTGGGAATAAGTGGTGGGAGAGGCTTAAGTATAGAATTATGTCTTTCACCACCGAATTTAGCCAGCAACTTGCTCTAGATAAAGCTAAGAATTTAAATTTTATTAGAGATTGTCTGGCTCTGATGGGGACTGTTGGCGATTCCCTAGATATAGGCCTAGCCAGGCAGGCTCTGGGGAGATCGGTTAGCGAGCGCTACCAGGAGCATGTACTTAAACATAAATTAAACAAGATGTCTAATGAAGCAGTACATAAGGACTCAAAATTCAGCAAGATGTAAATATGTCGAGTATCCGATCGTTACATTCGTGAGGTCGACATCCCGGATGGACGCTGCCTGAGATCGACCAACGACATGCGTGAGGCATTTCAACTGGAACTGATTTACCAAGGAGTCTGGCCTCTTCGACGAAGACATTTTAGATGACTTTTTTCGTCGACTGATGCGAACAGCTTCCGAGGTGAGATCACAGAATGCGTTGAAGTGTGTCGGTCGGGGCAAGTCTCCGGAAATTGATGGTCCGCCCCACAAATTAGTCTGTCGGACATGTTTGTTTCGATTTTGTCAGTGATGTTCAGCAATTGGTTCCGGCAGAGGTCCATCCCAAAAGAACCCACGGGGTTATGATCACGTTTGTTTCGCTTACCTGAAGATTGTCCGGAACGCTCTATCTCTCAATGACGTGGTCTTCAGAGTGGGATGGACTGATATGCCCATCAGTCATCGACAGGTGGGACATTGGTTTGAAAGTAACGTTTGCTCACGGCTTCTACTAGTGTCATCAGGGGTCCCGTTCTGCGATTAAGTTGACGAGTCGTATATATTCCGAATACCTTCTGTCTATTGATCTCATATACGAGTGCGATAATGTGTCGCTTCCCGTGTTTTGGGGTTGAACGGATGTTGTTTCTGATGCTGCTACCCGTGGCAAGAATAGTGGTGTGGACGACGCGGATGAAAGGAATTTTATGATGCCGATGATATTTTCATGAGGATCTGGTTAGATTCGTTCGGCATCAGCTTAAGAGGAAGATCAGAATTGACAGAAAACGTTTGTTATCGGCAGATTTCGACGAAAGATGGTTAAAAATGACGAGCTTAGTTTGTGCGAAAAGGGACAGTCTTGATTTTCTTTTTTAGATGCCTTTTGACGCAATGGAGCGGTTTCCTAATACGCCCGCCAACACCACCGATTAGGATAATCACTTTGTTTGTATAGTAAATGTAATTGTTGTTCACGGCATGCTACCAGCATTCTCTTTCGTTATAATCCATGTCAAGCTTACCACACCCAGTCTGTTTTTTGTCTCCACGCACTGTTTATCTTAACTGGATCAGCTTTTGATAATTCTCCCCTCAGTAATATATTTTGGTCTCTTCCTTGCCCCTAGCAAGAAAACTGCTCGATTCTCCATAGCAGCAGAGTACAGTGGGCACAGTTATTTATCTGTGAGTTAGACGGATCCTACTAACATTGTAATTTTCTTTT